ACTTGCCTCACGGGCTGGATCAAAGCCCAAGGCGGGCTGAATTCGGCCCGCTGAGAGGCTTTTGCCCACCCCTGGACTTGGCCCTGAGCACTACAGCATCAGTGCAGAGTGCCCCACCAGCACTGTCCTCCAGCCAGCAATGGTTTCCCTCTATGCCTCCTCCAAGAAGACTAAAAAGCTTGTGACTCCCATAAGCGAAAGAGAAGGGCTGGAGGAGAGCCACAACCAGCATTGGGTTGCTCAACTCTGGGAGTCAGGCAGCAGTGCAAGCGAAGTAGTCTAGCCTGCCCCCAGCCAGCACTGCTACATTGGACAGTGAGGGCCTTAACCATGTAGAGATCCCATTGATACATGAAGCATTGTAGGCAGCACAGGATATCTGGGCATTACCAGTGCTGGCCACACCAACTTTAACAATTTCCCTAATCTCAGAGAAAAAACGCTTTGGGATCTATGCTTAGATCCCCTTCTCTGCAGCAGTTTTCTCCATCCTGGGGAACAGTCTACTAGAGCTCACCTGTGAGGAGCCAACATGCCTCTGAGATAGAGGCAGGCCAGCAGGAGTTCACTGCAGTCCCCAGGCTCAGGGTTCCAGCAGCATGAGTCAGAGCCCAGTTCACTGGTGTCTTAGCATAGACCCGTGGAGTCATGCACCTACTGGCAGGAAGAGCACTCTGACATTTCATTTCACCTCAGCGCAAATCACAAAGCTGTTCCAGGCACCGTAGCTGCTTTTTGATCTCCCATGAGCAATGACCATTGCAATATCATTCCCAGGCAGTGAATCCCTCCGGACTGTGGGTGTATTCCAGTTTCAGGTTCTGGCACTGCATGGATAGCATGAGGTATAGATTGACGGTTTGCCATCGCTGATCCCCTGATTGCTGCCAGTCACTGGTCTCCCATGCCAGAGACTCATCCTAATCAGATCATTCTGTTTTTCAGCATTTAGCAAGGTGTCGTAGACCCACTGGTTCCTGGTCACTTTCCTGGTGGGGGTGACATCAGCAAGATGGGTATCAGAGATGAAGGCCCTGACTTTGGAACTGCCCATCAGTTTTTTGTTTTTTTTACAAGAACAAGAACAAGGTCCAACTATGTCCCCATCCAGCATTTTTGCTCAAGATAGTATCCTCCTTCCATGTAAACATATTCCTGCCTGAGTTCTCTCCCAAGCCATGTGATACGACAGAGAGGCATATGCATGCCCTAGACATCAAGAGAGCTTTGGCATTCTACTTGGAGCATATCAAGCCCTTCTGCAAGTCCACACAGCTCTTTGTCATCATGGCTGATAGATGAAGTGGCTTCCGGTGTCATCGCAGAGACTTTCCAAATGGATTACCTCTTGCATGTGAACCTGTTATGAATTGGCAAAGGTTCCACCATTGCAAATAATCAAGGCCCGTGATTACTAGAACTCGGGCATTGTTGGTGGCCTTCTTGGCCCAAATAATGGTCCAGAGTATCTGTAGAGCTGCAGAGTAGTCCTCCGTCCACACATTCTCCGTCGTCTTATGCCATTACTCAGGCTAGCGACAATGTTAGGTTCGGCAGAGCTGTACTACAGTGTGCATGGCCGTGAACTCTTATCTGCCTCGAAGTGTACTGTTTTGAGTCACTTAATATGGAATGGACATGAGCAAGTGCTCGAAGAAAACACCTGTTCTGTAACTATTGTTCTTTAAGATGTTTTGCTCATGGCTATTCCACAACCTACTCTCCTTTCCCACTGTTTGAGTTTCTGGCAAGAAGGAACTGAGGGTGAGGATATAAGGGGCATGCGGTGCCCCTTATGCTGCACCATGGAGTTGTCAGAGCTGCTCTTCTATGGATACTGCTGAGGGAAAAGTTCCAGCACCAGTGCATGTGGCAAGTACACACTCTTAGGCTGCGTCTACACTGCACACTTATTTCAGAATAACGGTCGTTATTCCAAAATAACTACGCGAGCATCTACACAGCAATTCCATTATTTTGAAATTATTTCAGAATAACAGACCGCTTATTCCAACTTCTGTAAACCTTATTCTATGATGAATAATGCCTTTTCCAAAATAACTGTTTCGAAATAAGGGATGTGTAGATGCTCACTTTTTCGAAATAAGGGATGTGTAGATGCTCCACTACTTCTATTTTGAAATAGCCCCTTACCAGGCCCGTTCTAAATTATTCCTCCTGGGGTTCTAAATTGAGATAACATGTCTACATTAGGGAAGCCTGCCTTGCACTAATTTTGAGGCTTCCCTACCGTGTAGCCATGCTATTTCAAAATAAGCTATTTCAGAATAACTATTCCGGAATAGTTTATTCGGAAATAACTGTGCAGTGTAAACCTAGCCTAAATGTGGAATGGACACGAGCAATCCATCTGTAAGAAGACTAGTTACAGAGCAGGTAACTGGTTTTTTTTTAATGAAACTCCATATATGGTCTTCTCTGAGGGCAGGTTTTATTTGTGTCCTCATTTGAAGTTAGTCACCAATATTGTATCTCGCTTTTGTATTAATCAGGATATATATTTACCAATTTTCTTCCCTAAGCTTCATTATGATAGTGATGAGGACACACTCCACACACTGGATTTCAGAAGAGCATTAAGTTTTTTACCTAAACAATTTAGATAGTTGTCACAGCTGTGGTGATTGTGAACAGAATGAAGAGTCTTCCAGTCTATTCTCAGAGGACTTCACTGTGACTCTACACTTGCATTTGTTTGTGTTTTGGCTTGGCCAGTAAAATTCCACAGAGTAAGGTGTTAACACATGTAACAAGACCCTGTGCAGCCTTTCTGGCCCAACTACTCAAGACATTTGCAAAGCAGCAACGTACATGCATGTTACACATTACAGTTAAAGAGCATTGGTACAAGTCACGGTCAGAGGACACCCTCTGAGACCTGGGTTCCTTTTAGCTTCCGTCCTTATCGTTGCAATTTGCCAGCAACTGGAGATCAGCCGGGGGAGCGGTGGCGGGGGAGGGGGACCTGGGCCCTCCCTCGCTCCCTCGGTCCTGGCCCAGGGCCCTAAGGCAGGGATATCCGTATCTCTTGCGTGACTGACGGGAGAGTTGCCCCTAAACGCGCCAGCCCACGGGCTCCACGACCCTGCCGTGGGCCACTTCCATCCCGCCTTTTCTGCCTACCTCCATGGCTCCTCCGGTGTTCCGCCCAGTTATTCCCCCCTTCCACAGCAGCAAGCATCCTTTTTTAATATCCCGCCCCTGCGATACTACCGCGAGTGGGCGATGACGTCCCCGCCGCGTCGGCAGGTGACATTAGCAACCGGCGCCCGTCTCTCCCTCCAGTCCTGTGCTTACCGCACGTGTGCTGTTGATCCCCCCTTCGGCCCCGGTTGGCTGTTCACCTGGGTTCCAAGCCGCTTCTCTGGCTGCCATCCTGAAGCAATCCTCCACATCCTGCCCCGCTTCCCGCGGTTCACGGGGCCCTGTTTGAGTGCGGGGTTGCTCCATCCTGTCACACCGTGGTTCATGGAGCCCTGGTCTGGTGCGAGCTTGCTTCACCCCGTCACAATGCACCTTTGTTTAACATCATGCCATCTCTCTGTGTTCTAGAGATGATGCCAGTTTTGGGCATGTGGTCCTTATTTAGGTATGCTCTGACAGATGTAGGAGAGAAGCTCCCTCTAAGGAGGTGGCTGCTCAATCAAGAGCATATTTAGTCAGGGATCTATGGGCCATGGTTTTTTTGTTTATTGCCGGGGGCGTGTCTATGACTTTTACTAAAAATACCTGTGACTAAAATGTAGCCTTTGTCCAAATGAGACCATTTTGGTCAGAATTGAATAATTTGATGTCCAGGATGACTTAAGATTTAATATAATGTTGGCTTTAAAATATTGTTTTATCACATAAAACCTTTGTGTTTGGGTACTGGAGATGGTTCCACATATAATATTTGTTTAAGTAGACTTTTTATTTGTCTTATTAAAAATGCCAATTTGTGATATTTATAATGCTTTTTTAAAAATTGCCATTTTAATTAAACCCAGATGTTTTTCTTTATATAGTTATGGTTCAAGAAGATTATCATAGTCAAAACCCTTATCATAATGCAGTTCATGCTGCTGATGTGACTCAGGCCATGCACTGTTATTTAAAAGAACCTAAGGTAAGATCAAAAATTGTTTTACATAATGTGTAAAGACTTACATAACGTTTGTATTTTTCTTAATATTCTGTAAAACCATACGCCTTGAATACTGATGAACAAAGCTCCTCTGTCAGGTCCAGGTTGTAGCAATGTACAAGAGTTGTCTGTCCTTTCTTCTTTCAGAAATGGATATTATGAAAGAGAGATACCTATCAGAAACAATTATATGTAAGGATCTGATGAAACCTAACAATTGTCAAAGGTGACTTGTATTGCTGATACTCTGGTGTATACTACACACTAGCCAGCAAACTTCAGTGAAAAATGTTACTTGCTGATTAGATTAGTGAAGACCTATGATGTACAGTACCCAGTTGGAAACTAGCTGTCTAGTTCAACACTTTTTATTAGTTTGGCTTATTCTTGAAGAATAAGATTCTGTACGTACCATGATTAACTAAACTGTCTGACATTTCAAAGTGGCAGTGATAATCCGGAACCTTTGGGACCTAGGTGGTGCTGGATTATCGGATATGCCGGACTATCAGGAGGTACTATAAATTGGTTTTATATATATATATATATATATACACACACACACACACACACACAGTATATACTGTATATAAAGTGTTTTAACTTTTTATTGTACATACTGTATACAGTATACTGTAATGTTTTAGTTTTTTAAACCCTTTTTTACCCTTTTTGTTGTACATACTGTAATGCATAAATTTAGTCATAGAATGAAAGAATAAATGTACAGTACAGTACTCACCATATTGTTGCAAAGCCTTTGAATACAGAAAATAGAGGATACTATGTACAGTAGTGTGCAGCACTGGCTAACCATATAATTGGATGCTGGACTATTGGAGTTTTACTGTATATCATTGTATTAAGGTTAATGAGGCTCCATGTAGTATTCAGAATTAATATGAGACAAGGTGCAATGGATGAGTGACAACCAAAAGGAGGAAGAAAGATGAAGATAATGAAAATAAGATCATACAGTTACAGATTTAACTGTTTAGAGCTATGTGCTTTCTTTTTCATTTTAGAAAGGTTAGGTGTTATCGTCTTCTGTAGGTGACCATATTTTCAAAATAAAAAACTGGAATCCTTATATGGTGACATTTTATAGGGCTGTGAAATAGTCATACAACAGTGCACTTTTTATGGGATGGTGGGATGGGATGGAAAGGGTGGATAGTTTTCGTGGGTCATTACTGCCAGCTTCTGATTTAACAATGACACGCATACTTTTGAAGTGGAGGATTTTTCTAGCAAATCAGTGCTGTGAAATACCTCATCGTGAAACATTGCACAAGTGTCATAAACATTGAGCAAAAGAAAACCTTTGATAATGTTGATATTATCTTGACTTTTCACTCTGTCAAATGTTTTTCATCCTGAACTGTTTAGTGGTAAAAAGAGCAAATTGTATTTGGTACAGAAATATATCAGTCATTGAGCAAAATGAAAAAAAAAACAAAACACCCCAGCTATTCCAGAAAATTCCAGGCACATCACAGGTGGCTTATAAAAAAGTTCATTGTCATGCCCATAAAAATCCCTCCTTACCCAAACTCTTTATATCTGGGGTAGATTCAAACCACCAACCTGAGTCACTGATAGTATCACAGATTCCTGGGCTTTTCAGTAAACTGGCATCTGAATTTTTTGTTGGTTTTCCAGCAGTCAGATGGGTTGCCATAGGTTTTTATTTTTGATATCATGATAAATAAATATTATTAATGTGTGGTTTGCAAGTGATGCTTTACCACTAATGATTGTTTGAATTCAAACAGCCTTGTACAGGAGTACATAAGTAGCTTGTCATTGGTCTGTCCAAATATGTACCACTTTAGTTTTTGGTCAATCTCTTCTGTACCCTGTTTTTTCTCTTTCCCCTAGTTGCACCCCTGTAAAAACCTCTTCAGTTGCAGGGCTGTGAAATTTGAGAGCTTATTGGGTACCATAATGTCCCTTCCCATCTCCACAGTGGGATAGGAAATGGGGTTGTGACTCAGGATGAAAACTACCCAATGAATAGTTCTGACAGTATTTGGGGCATGTAGACCTTAGCTTGCTTAAATTAAATAAAATACACCTTTTTTGAAATGATATTGTCTGCATTAAAACCAGTGGAGAAAAGCAGGACCTTTGCTGACAATGTACACATTAAGATTGGTTTGGAACATGAGAAGGACAACTAACATGAAGAAATATTCTTTTTCATGGATTTTTAAAAAGGACTTTTGAAATACTCTCTGGTTGGTAATGGAGTAGCTAAACAATTTGAATGACAGTTCTACCTACAATAAATATTTAAATAGTTATTGCATCTATGTAGATATTAACATGGTTGGATGAAATTTATCTTCAGCCTTTAACCTTCTGTAGGCAAATTGCCCCTGTAATGACCTATTCCATTGTTGCTATTAAACTTTTTTGGTAAAAGTTCTGCTGGTATCCTTATACTCTTCTTTGCATTCACCCTTATGTGATTCTGCTCTTCTTTCAAAGCATGTGTGAAAGATAAATAGTCATTTTGGGATCTTTTCCAGGGACTGAATGCTAGCTATGAAAAGACAATCAGAATTGTTTCACCTGTGAATGTTCCCATGAATAATACTGTTACATTTATTACAGCTTTCCAAATCTTTAACTCCATGGGATGTTCTCCTCAGTTTAATTGCAGCTGCCACACATGATTTGGATCATCCAGGTGTTAATCAGCCTTTCCTTATTAAAACAAACCATTACTTAGCAACTTTATATAAGGTAAGTGAAAATGACATACTAATCAGGACCAAGTTTGAGTATCTTTTTGGTATAGAAGAATTATATTTAACAGTGAAATTGCTATTGAACTCACTTAATAGTAGACTTGAACGTAGGATGTATTTTTCCCATTGAGTGGAAACAATAAATACAAGCCATTAACTTAATAGAAAATCATAGAACCTTTTCAAGAGGCATAGACAGTAGTGTAGGACTAATAAAATCTTTTAAAGAAATAACTTAATGACTGACACCACTAATTTTGTTTCTGTTTGCAGAATACCTCAGTATTAGAAAACCACCACTGGAGGTCAGCAGTGGGGTTGTTGAGAGAGTCGGGTTTATTTGCACATATGTCATTAGAAAATAGGTATGTATTTTTATACAGATTCTATGCTATATGACACTATGTGACATTACACACAATGTATTATCCATTGCATAAGACAACTTTGTAAACAAGTATTCTGTTGAAATATTACACAGCAATTCGTAATCCTAGCTGAATATTTAGATCAATTATAAGATTTAATGCGCAGTGTGAGTTTTGCAAGAACAGTTAATTATTCAGTATACAACTTGGAAATGCTGTGAGATGGAAATATATTCATTACATAATCATTCATTTGATTAGATTGAAAGAAAATACTACTACTGACTCGTAAAGGATAATTGTGTTCTGTGTCCCAAACAGCAACTCACGTTCTGTATTTTTTAAACTGTAGCTTTTTTATCTTCTTTAATGATAGCTAGAATAATTTAGCATAAAATATTTGTAGTAAGAGCTGTCTGAGAAATATCAGGGTATTTTTTTATAAATATTGTAGTTTTATAAAAATGTTATATAAACATTTGAAAATGGTACAGCAATCATGGCTTACAATGTATGTATAGATTCATAAACAGTTGCTACATTCAACTTAAATGTATAAATATGATGCTCTAATTTCTTTTTCCTCATTTTTGTGCTTTTGGATGTTTTACATCACTAATTTCAGGCAGCTGATGGAAAGCCAGATAGGTGCTCTGATTCTTGCCACAGACATAAGTCAGCAAAATGAGTACCTGTCCCTGTTCAGAACCCATTTGGACAGAGGAGACATAAGTTTAGAGGAGGCTGGTCATCGCCACTTCATTTTGCAGGTAACTGTTCTGAACGTTCCATACTATTTCAGAAGTAAATTGCTTCAACTATCTTTTTTTTTCCTTCCAGGCAAATGGTTTTCAGCAGCCATGGGTAACCAGTGAAGAGAGGATGTTTTTATTCTTTAGTTGTTTAGCTCTTGTAAAATGTCAGGTTGACAGCATTGGAAATTAAGTTCTTATGTTTGTTTACATTAGAGGTACAGCATAAATGACTAGTGCTTTCCATAAGCTGCACTGCCAATGCAAATCACCTTTTTCTGGATGGACCATCTCCAGGGTCAAAAGGATATTTGTTTTGAGGCATTGTCTTCAATTCTTTCCCTTTGTAGAGAGACTGCCAAGAAGGCACTGACTGAGATGTTAACTTTCAAAATAGAAAATGTTCCTGTAATAGAACAGGAAGTTACTGAGCTCGGTTTTAAGTCTATTGGAAGCAGCTGATTTTTAAGGATACTTTTAAAAACTGTCATAGGCTGAAAACAATGGAGGTAGTTCCTCCTTCACTGCCATACAATTTTGATGACAGCCAGGCAAAATTCAGGACTTCTGCCTCTAAACAAAAAGGGAGCAGGAAGGCAAACTCTGCAACTGTTTTCTGATTTCCATTTTGATGAGTTTCTACCACAGGCTTACAGAAGATGCAGGAGTCATTAAAAATTTTAAAAACAAAACTGAAGGGAAAAAATGCCACTTCTTTGCTAGCAGTCACTTGACATAATCTGTGCTTGTATGTGCAAGGCCTTCTTACACAAGGAGTTTGAATATCAGAAAGTCTTGCTGAAGCTCCACAAGCTCCTGACTTTAGAGGGCAAAACCAGTCCTTTCTACTTACATGTTAGAGAGAGCTTGCTCAGTAACACAGAGGAAGGAGCAGATAAGTCACAAACAGAGGATGGAAAATTAGACATGAAGGTAAAGATTTTCAGTCTGTCACTGATCCCAGCAGTCAGAAACAGGGTTAATCTTTCATTGAGGTGTGAGCATTTTTTTCCTCCATCTAAAGAATATCCCTAAGGCTATGTCTATGCAGTGGCGTTATATCAGAATAGCTGACATTATTACAAAATAACATCCACACAGAAAGCCATTATTTCGAAATAATGGTGAGCTGGAGGACTTTTTGCTCTGACTCTTGTAACCCTCATTTTATGAGAAGTAAGGGAAGTCGAAGGAAGAATGTTTTTCCTTTAGCTTCCTGCTGTGTAGACTGCGCCAAAAGCCAAATTAAGCTATTTCAAGAAGCAGTGCAGACACTGAAACCCTTCTGGTCCAAGGACACCAGGACGCTGGCGTGACGTGGTGTCATGATGTCACAGCCAGCGACCGCCGGATTCAAAAAGACTCCGGTAGCCCCGCAAACTGGAAGGCAGAAGCCAGGTAGGGGAGGGGAAGGGGCTTGTGCTGAGAGGAGGGGGGCAGGTCAGGAGAAAGGGGAAGGCACCAAGAGACGGGGTGCAGGAGAGACAAATGCCAGGGGGCCAAGTGGAGACAATGAGGAAAAGGGCAGGAGGGGAGATGTCAGTGGGAGGAGGGACAGGGTGATGCTGGGAGAGAAGAGGGTAAGGGCATTGGGAGCCGTATGTTGTGCAGGCCTGATTTAATTGAAAAATTCTTAGTGAAGTAACACCTCCCCACGCCCCCTCCACATACCCTTGTGGCTAGGGTTGTCAGGTGTCTGGTTTTCTACCGGACAGTCCGGTATTTGCGCTCTCTTCCCGGTAAAAAAATTCAGAAAATATTGGACATGTGCAGTGTCCGGTATTTTCTGAATTTCCGGCTGGGTACTGGACGGAAGCCGAGTGGCGCCTCCTGTGGTTGCGTGCTGAATACTGGACGGAAGCCGAGTGGTGCCTCCTGTGGTTGCGTGCTGAAGCTGGGTAGTGCGATGGTTTTTTTTGTATGCCAATCACCCGTGGGTGTTTTTTTTTTCCTCTCGACAAAAAATTGTAGCCTGCATGTTCGGTATTTTTTGGGAGAGCATCTGGCAACCCTATTTGCGGCTTGCAGCTGTTTTCTTTGGCGTAATATGGCCCTCGCCCCTTTCCAAGTTGTGCAAGCCTGAAGTAAACTGAACTTTGCTAACTCAGTCCTACTAGGATTTCTGGCATTAAACCTATGCGATCAATCAAGTCTTTAAAGTATCAAATCCCCATTATAAAATGGGGAGTGGGGATGTTAAATGACTTTAAAATAATCTTCTTCTAATAGTTAATTTAATTTTTTTTAGATTTAATTATAGAATTACAAAACAGTATTTATTTATGCATATCTAAATACCTTTGTATTGAATGCTTTGCATACAGTGCCCTTGAGAGGTATTTTGCATTTAACTCTCATTCACTGTGGCCAGAATAAAAGTTGATTTGCCTTCGGTTTTACTTAAAACTGATTATGACATTTACTATAGTCAAATAGTACTCTGTTCTGTGGTATATATTTTATTGTGAAATGCAAGTGGTTGGCTTTGTTACACTGAACAGAAAGATGCATGAGACATTAAGTAATAGATACTCTATTCTAATAGCTTTTTTGAATTCCTGTTTTGAGTGTAACCCAGTATATGTAATTTACTAGATGGCACTGAAATGTGCTGATATTTGTAATCCATGCCGGACCTGGGAACTGAGCAAGCAGTGGAGTGAAAAAGTAACAGAGGAATTCTTCCATCAAGGCAAGTAAAAGAATAGAAATATTGTAATCTAATACCAGTGGATGTGTAAATTTATCATAACATGAATAACTGAGCATCATAGTGATTCTGTAAGATGAAGGGCCAAGAGTTTAGAACTAAAGAAGAGTTAAAATAGAATGACAGTCCTTTTCTTCTGTTAGCTACATTTCACAGTCATTCACAGTCCTTTTCTTCTGTTAGCTACATTCTGAAAGAGGCTGGTTCTGCTACTAACAGCTGTTGAAGAATCTGCTTTAACTCATTATATCAAAAAATTCTTGATTCAGAGTATAGCTGAAATGTATTCCTCATTATTAAAGATACTTCAAATGAAGGATTGTCTTAATTTAATATATTATATTTGTATTTGCTCTTAATTGGATTATATCTTTGCAGAATACATTTTAAACATAAACATTCAGTTGTAATGCATAGAAATTGTTCTGAAGGTGATTTGCCTTTTTTGAGTGGCTACATAAGACAGAATTAGCTGTGTATAATATGAATTAATTCCAGAATGCTTACAGTTAAAATTATTTTTCTAAGTAATTGTTGTCTCTTTAGGAGATGTTGAAAAAAAATATCACTTGGGTGTGAGTCCACTGTGTGATCGACAGTCAGAAACCATTGCCAACATCCAGATTGGTAACTACAAATATATATGTATACTAGAGGATTTACCTAGTGTTGCTCGAGTCTTTGAAATAATTGTTGTTTTTCTTCATTTAAATCATTGCTCTGGGGTGGGGCTGAGGATGAGGGGTTCAGTATGCAGGCTGCCCCAGGGAGAGAGGACAACCCCAGCCCTCTCTCACCACAGGAGTGTGGGGTCAGGTGAGAAGCACCTCTCTATCTCTCCATGGTTGCTGCAGCTGCAACAGGCACAGCTGGGGGAGAGGTGCATGTCCCCCAGACACACACATGCACACAGAGACTCTCACAGAAACATATATATATATATGTAGTGTATAGCTGTCTGTTTCTCTACCCCTGCCGCCTTGCTGGAGTTATACATGTTCCAGTTGTCATCTCTGGCCTCATGCTGCACCTTTGTGGTTATCTTATAAATATTTCCGAAAGTTTGTTTGTTTGTTTGTTTGTTTGTTTGTCGCGAAAGATCTCCGAAACGGTAAGAGCTAGAAACACCAAATTTTGCACGGATACTACTGATTTCCCAACTTCAATAACTGGATTGGTTATATCTCAAAATCGGTTCCCGCAGCGCGACAGTTGAGGAAGGAAAGGTATCTTTGCCTACAAACCCTAGAATTTGCACTTTATTTGTATTCTTTTTTGTTTTCGTTTAGCAACTCTCCTTCACCATGAGCAATTATTTTTCTTTGCTTTAACATTTCTCCTTTGGATTTAGTATTTGTGCAAAGTGCTCTATTGATAGTCGTGGAAACTGAAGTCCTGTATCCTTAGAACAGGTACAGCATGGGCAGCAGCAGCAATGCAGCCTATCCCATACTACTTCTTTAATGTGCCTTAATCTCATCCTGGAATGACAAACTTCCAGAATTAGAGGGCATTTTGTTCACTATACCCATTCAGTCCTGGTGCCTCCAGTGAAGCTGCCATTTGACTTAGCCTTTTGGAATGTGGAAACCTATTCACTGGAAACTGGTTTTAAAATGGTCTTAAAGCATAGAAATTTCATCTATGCCAATAGACAACTGTTAGATTATTTTTTATCACTGCCATCCTGGGCTGGATTTATTTCAGGGACAGAAGTGAAAGGATGGTCCCATTAATCAACATCAACTTTCTTTTTTAAAAGTTTTCATATAGATTGAATGGAATTGAATGAAAAATTATGTTCTCTTAGATTAAGCAGATTGATATATTTTAACCCGAGGCACAATTTATTTCATATAAAATTGGAAATGTAAAAAAATGTGACTTTGGTTCTCACAAATTATACTAAATTATATCCATTATAGCCAGTCAGATTACTGAATAGCTGATCATAATTTTGATTTGTTTAAAATAAACTGATTTTCTAAAATAAGTCGAAAGTACAGTTCTGGCAACCTTATCTTTAACTTTTTGTTTGCCTATATAGAGCCAGATTTTTAAACATATTTAGGCCTCTCTCAGCCATTGAAATTGTTAGGAGTTAGGACCTGAGTATTTTTTTAAATCTTAAACTTAGACAAAATATTGCGGGTGGCACATAGGGCAGTTGGCTATTTTCAAGATGACTCATTTGCTGCACAACCGTGAGAGCCCTTTAATTTGTGGAGCTCATTAGTGATCTTTGCCTTGGAGACATAAGTTTGCCAGGTCATACTTCAATACACTTAACTGGTCTAGTGATGCCGAGGCAATTTGAATGTGTATTTCCTTTGTAATACAATTCAGCTTGTCCATGGTGTTATTACATATGAGCTTGTTTGTTAGATTTATAGGCTTTTTGCTCTAGTTTGTGTGGCTTAGTTCAATTGGATGTCCTTTTCACATCTCCAATAGCCCCCCCATCCCTTTATTTCTCCTCTGCCCCATAAGGGAACAAATAAGATTAATTGGCTGCTTCTTAATACAATACAGGCAGTCCCCGAGTTACGCGGATCCGACTTATGTCGGATCCGCAGTTACGAACGGGGCCCGTCTCCCTGGTCTCCAGCAGACCAGGGAGAGGAAGCAAAGCGTCTGGGCTGTCCGCTGCCCACGTGTTCCGCGGCTTTGCTCCCCGTCCCCCTGGTCTGCAGACCAGGGAGACGGGGAGCAAAGCAGAGCAAAGCCGCGGAGCCCGAGGGCAGCAGGACAGCCATGGAGTCTTGGCTGTCCCGCTGCCCCCGTGCTCCGCGGCTTTGCTCCGGACACCTGTGGTACAGCAGCTGGGGCGCTGCCAGTTGGTCCCGCAGCGCCGCTCTGGGC